GAATTTATCGGAGAATAACGAAAAGCCTTTTTCATCACGCTGTGACGAAAAGTCCAATTTCCGCCACATTGTGATGAAAAATATTGTTCGTATCTCGTGAAAAAATATTTTTTAGCACTTATTACGAAATATACTATTTCATCACGCTGTGCGAAAAAGTAACTTTTCAGGCACGCTTCACGTGCCTAAAATATCCCTTTTTCGCACCTCGTGATGAAAAATATCGTTCGATACTCGTGGGAAAAGTGTTTTTTGGCTCGTGGGGGGTTTATAGCACGAGCCCGAAAAGCTCTTTTCCGCACTCGTAACGAAATATGCTATTTTGTCCATCATAAAATTTCCGAAACGTTTTTTAAAAATGAGAATACCTGAACACTAGGGATTAATGGATTAAAATAAATAAAATTAAATACCATTTTTCATACAAATTCGAAAAAATTGGTCTTTTTCCAAAAATCGATTTTTCAACGATCACTCAAAAAATTGTCATCAAAATGGAATTAGTGATGGCTCAAAAAATTGTTAACAATATCCTCTTGATTCTATCACAATATAATGGGGATCGCACAATTGGTTGCTGAGTTACCGCACATTGTTTATGCGATTTGAAAGAAAAAATCTTTTTTTTCATGATTAGTGGAAGAATCATCAGTAATAGCAATTGAATCAGGGCTTGAAAAGTATATTTCAATGGCTTATTAATCAAGTTGAAAAATGGTGAGAACAGCATCATTGCTTATCAAGTTACACAATAGCGTCATGAGCTTTTTATATGAAAATCTCTATCTCTATTAAACTCAGGTAGCAGTCTATTATGTTGAATACTTATTCATATTGATTCATGGTCCCGACCAACTTCTGACAGAACCTGGGTTAAACTCTGGCTAAATCCTGAATGGACCCTGATTAAATCCCGGCTATACACTGATTAAACCTTGATTGGACCTTGATTAAACCCGAGCTGAAAATGAATTCGAGTCTTGAGAGGGTCTGGATGTAGAATTATTTGACAGAACGAAATAACACGCAAAAGTTTGATGACATTTCAATTGATGATAATACTATGACATGAAAAAATAGAAAAGGAAAATAGTGAAATAAGAATTAAAAAATAGAACCCGTTCGGAAGCAAATTGCTTATTTATGACGTCATTGTCGCTGATAATTTTTTTATAAAATAAACGAAACGTGTTCTCGCAGTCCAAGCGATCTGTTTCGATATTGTTCATCATAAAAAAAACCTATGAAATATCCCTCTCTCCATAAATCCTTCCCTCAAAGAATATAACTCCATTATTCATTGAATCGGTCTATTATCCCCAAACGTGAAACTAAAAATATGAGAAAAATAGTTTAATGATATTTTTAATCGGCTTCCCAAGGGAAAGAGAACTCCGAATAGAGGGTTTTGGAGTGTCCCGCTGGACCGAGCGATAAGGGTGGTAATCTGTTACACTTCGTTGCGTTAACCCCCCACCCCAATGATCCTTGATGATCCTAGCCTTCCACCTTCCCATATCTCCCCCTCGCAATTTTTTTTCTCCTCGTTTCTCTCACAATTTTCTTTTTTCACATAATGGGATCCACTCATTGACACGACGTCGGATAACTGGGTCAAACGGTTAATCGGAAACTGCGTGAGGGGCCAATTATTATTTTTCGTACTTTTTTTTTTCTCTATTTCTTTTTTTAGCAAAACTGTCGCGCTTTAAGAGGAGCCAGAGGCCTGGATTGGACTTTTACAAAAAATAGGACAGGGCTGGGCTTCGCTCCATTCTTTTTAGGTGAAGGGTAATTTTTCTTAATTAGGGTAATTAATTTTGCAGGAGAGGAGCGAGCGCGAATTTTGTGGATGGCATTTTTGGGAAATGGATTATTTCTGTGATATCTTGGAAAATAATTTATTTGATGTTTGAATTATTTAAAAATTATATTTTTCGAAAAATGACGTTTTCTTAACAATCCTTCTTATAAATACTGGGGCAAAACGGAACACTGGGGAAACCACATACTTACTTATGATCATTTAGGAAACTTTTTCATTTTTCTTTATTTTGACTTTTTCAAGTATTCACCAGTTTTCAGTGAATATCTCGAAATCTAAGGGATTTAGCAAAATTTTTGTTAGAACATTTTTCGTAGCCCTTAACTCGCTCTACAAAAAAAGTTTGTTTGAGATTGAAGCTAAATTGAGATGCCGGTTGGGGAAAAGTGGAATTGTGGAAGGAGGTGGAAAATTAAAACACGCGGAATTATAAAACCACACTGTTGATGTACTTTATTGTGGAATAACCCACGCGTCTTGATAAATTAATAATGTTACACTATTGAGTTGCTCGACAAAGTCAATTAAATGATGATTTGAAAATGCACTGCACTTGAGATTCTCTCGATATTGAGCTTGATGATTGACTCAAAATAATTGATAGTTAACTCGGAATTAATTGATACTTGAATTGAATTAAATAGAGACGCTATACGAAGCGCTAGACTCAAATGTATCGCGTTGATGTACTCCGGTGATGCACTCGATTGAGCGGTTACGGCGATACAGTACTGTGATTAGAGTGACTCTCTCGGTGGCTAGAGCGATACTACTGACTTTTTCGGCGATTTTCTTCGTAGCTGACCGTGACCCCGAAGGGTCCCGAAGTTTCTCGAGATTTTCGTTGAGCCCGGTGACCATTTGACTAGTTTGAATAGCTGAATTTCAAACAAGGTTATTACGAAAATTTCGTTATCTCCCTTAGATTCGAAGATATTCTTGAACAACTCAGCTATGGCTGAAATGGTCTCGAAGGTCAAACGACCCTTCTGGGATGAAATGACCCTTAATGACCTTCTGGGGTATAATGACCCTTAAGGACATTTAAAGTTGAGGGTCAAATTGTCTTAAGGGGCAACTGGCCCTTGAAGACGTCCAGGGTTAAGGGTCAAATGATCATTTTTGATTACTCTCTTCTAACCCGTTTGACCCTTCAGACCATTTGACCCTTAAACTTGAACGATCTCAAGAGGTTGTCTGACCCTCAAGTCCTTAAGGGTTGTCTGGCCCTCAAAACCAGTTGATCCCGAAACCGCGGGACAGAATGAATCAGGAGGACAAACGACTGCTTATAACAATTCAAAAGACTTTTTTGTTTTCAGTTGAGGGTCAAATGATCGTGAGGGTCAAGTGACCCATGAAGATACGTAAGGTTTAGGGTCAAAAGGCCCTTTCTGACGCCTCTGCTCTAACACCTTTGACCTTTAAGACCATTTGACCCTTAACCCTAAACTTTTTTGAAGGTTGTTTGACCTTCAACCCCATTTAATCCTCAACGGATATGAAATAACATATTTCGATACGAGTGCGTAAAAATTTTTTTCTGACCTGTGGGAGGTGTTGGTGCGCGCCGAAGGCGAGTGCCAAGGGTCAATGAACACTTTTCCCACGAGTATCGAATCCTATTTTTCATCACAGTGTGTGGAAAGTGGAATTTTGCGTACGCGGAGCATGGGTAAAATTTCACTTTACGCACACGCGATGAAAAAAATTATTTTTGGAGCTAGTCAAATTTATTTGGATCTGTTCCACGCATTGAATGGTTTTCAGATTTTTTTTTAATAAATGAAAAAATAATAATCCATGCGAAAAAGTCGCAACATCGTCGGTAGTTTTTTTTTCCACCAGGAGCTGGCACCACTGGCTCGAGGGAGCTCCAATCACAACGCTTCATCGCTCTCTCTCAAGAGACGTTTAAATTGGTACTTGGGAGTTACTGCTCGTTTGGGCTGCGTGCGCAGAAATTTCATTTTTCAGTACTTTTTTCGCTATTATTAATAAACAATGCTCCTAGGCGACAATCTTTTTCACTCAAAAAATCATTGATCACATGTTCTAAATGTGTCTAAAGTTTCATGACTTTGGCTGCTTTTTTTCCTCGGGCTTTGCAGTTTTTTTTGTGATTTTCATAAGATCACAGGTTAAATGACCACTTTTTCAAAAATTCATAATAAATTAACCATGCTTCCCAGCAGTCTGAAACTTTGCACACGTCTTTTCCATCATTTAAAGAATACGTAAAAAAAAGAAAAAAATGGCTGCTTTTTTTCCTACCCTGCGGTCTCGCCCAGTTATCCTTAAATTGTCGTTTTGATAATTATCTCTCGAACATATTCCCAATATAATCGTCAGATGCATTCTCGCATTATCCAATTCGTTCTCTACTGAAATTCGGGAATAAAAAATTCCATCACCATTTCCAAATTTTTTTCAACGCGTTTCCATTATTGCAACAATAATCCACGAAATAACTGCAGCCGCGGAGTCCTCCCGTTGGGAGGAAATAGCGTACTCCAAATTTTATCGAAACACGTAAAATTGATATGGAGCTCTCGTCGCAACGCTGATGGGTTTCCGTAATTTGGCAACTGCCGGGAGGCGGTGGGCGTTGAAATATCACTCTGAATAAAGCCGATAAACAATTTGGTTCGTGAAACCAAGAAAGGAAAATAGTAATTCAACGGTGAAAGGTGACAGAAACGGAACAAGTTTTTTTGACGTGTCTCAAAAAATGGAATTATTTCTGTGATGAGGGGATTCTGGAGAAAATTTTACGGAAATTGTTTTCAAATTAATTTTTGTGTGAAGAGAAAACTTTTGTCATTTTCGTCTTGAAAACACTCAATTTATATTCTTTAAAAAATGTTTTGTAAGTAGAAAAAAATGGAAAAAATTCAGAAGAAAAAAATTAATGATTGCAATAGAATTTTAAAATGTATTAAATAAACATGCCCCTGAAGATGGCCCTGTACAGAGGGACCGAAACGTTAGGTATATTGCAGTAGAAATGGGATGATTTTTCTCATTTTTTCCTCGTAAATTGTTCGAGTCTGCCAACGACCGCACAGGCCAACCCTCTCTCTTCATCAATTCATCGGTCGAACTAACACCTTAAGATCAATTTCCAATACAAATTAGAAATGAATTAAAAATTTCCACCAATAAAAAATCAATATTAGGATTGATCATCATTTATTCATGACAATTAAAACTAAAATCATGTATACAATTCTCCGCCAAGCCTGATTGTGATCAGCATTACTCGAATTCCACAATTAGCTATACCCAATTATCATCAATCCAGCATGATTAATCGATAAAGCAATGGTTCCTGCATAGGTACAGTGGTGAAACGTAACAGAACCAAACAGAACCGAAAATTCGACTTCGCACATCTTATGAAAAACGCACTTATCTTCGCAATAAGTGCATTTAGAGAAAAATCTCACAAGACATTTTTTGTTGGAAATTCAATTCTCTAAATAGATTGTCTTGAGACATTTTTTCGTAACACCACTCGTTCTCGAGATAAATGCGGCATTCATGTGGGCAATTGTCAAGAATGGAAATGTTAGGTTTCACCACTCATTTACAGAGTTGAAGACATATGGTTCTTTTTCTGTTCCGCCAATCAGTTTTGTTTGAGTCAATTTTGCGGTTGTTTCTCGTTTGGAGTTATCCCATCGTGCTACTTATCAATAAATAAATACGGTGTAGAGAGAATTTAGATCACATGAAGTAAGCGAAGCCGAAGGTTCGTTTTATGGCGTCCCAGTAGTATCTGTCCCAGTTTTCTTTCGTTGACTCTTCATCACTGAAATAAAAAATATGTCAATGTAATTTTTTAAAATGAATTCTGCAATTTTTTTTTCAACGTGACATTAAATTTAAGTCAATTTTACTGACTAAAAAATGTTTTTTTTTACTGTTGAAAATCATTATATACTTTTATTTCATTGTGTAATCAATGATTAAAGGTTTAAAGAATTGAAAATCAATTGTATTTAATGCAAAATGAATTTTAAAAAACTAATTCTGCAGATTTTTTCAATTTAAAATTAAATTAACATCAGTTTCGTTCACTGAAAAGTCTTTTTTCAGAGTAAATGATCATTAGATTTTTTATCCAATTCTGAAACCAATTTTAGGAGACGGAAAAATTAATAAAAGAAATCAAATTTTACAAAAATTGATGCAAAAAATGATTTTGTGAACAAACAAGAAAATTAAAATCTTCAGAAGCGATGAGATTATTTTGTTAACAGAAAAAAAAATAATTACCCGGCTGGAACCCCAGTCTGAGTGAGATCGACTTCAGTATGATCAGATTTTTCGCTAATATCGAGTATAACTTCGCTAAAATGTCCCTCCGGCCAGTGTTTGCACCTCCACTTTTGTACAATTTTAGTTGGTGACAAGTCGACGAATTCCCCGTGGACATTTCCACCGAAGAGTTCGAATTTCCCCTCTTTCTTTGGCTCTAGTCTTACAGGTCCTTTCGTGAAGGCTTGGACCATCTGGAAGAATCAATAAATGTTCAAAATTAAACATTCCACTAGATTAACAAGTGGCCCATTGCACAGGTCTAAATCAATTACAGTTTTTTTTGCTAAAAATTAGCAATTTGCTTCCGAACGGATTAATCGAATCAAAACAAAAAAAATGCACATTCGGTTTTCTGTCCTTAATTTCAGATTAGTAGGAATCCTTCCTGAAGTTTAACCTCAGGAAAATTTAATATTTTTTTTCAAGACAATTTGAGATAAAATTGTTTAGTGAACTGAATTTATTTTGAATTCGACAGATTGAGTAAAAACAAAATGAATGTAAAATTTGATATCACAAGAGTTCATGCTCCTGATACATCAATGTTGATGTCTCGTCGGTCGTAAGTAAATTATTTAAATTTTATTTTTCTTCCTGAATAGTTTTCCTTAAACTGGACTTAAGACCAGTGTAAGTTTTTTGCTGATGAATTAGCAATTTGCTTCTGAATGGTAAATTGGGGAAGAAGATATACCAGCCATGAAACTTTAATATGATCCCTAAATGTCTCAATGTCTAACATGAGCTCCGTATGCCCTGCTTAAACATCTAACAAACGCCGACTAAATTAAAATTGAACTGGTTTAAACTTCCACTGAACACTGATTAAACCTTGACGAAACCTTGGTTAAATCCTGATTAACCGCCAACTAAATCCCGACTAAACCACGATTAAACCTCGATTAAATATTTTTTAAGGTAATAATTTCAAAGCAAATGATGCGATCGTCAAACGAATATTTCAAGCCATAATTGAAAAGATTTCGACGATTATTTTTTGAATAATCCATCTAAAAACAGCATATTTGAACTCTTGAGACCAAAATTAGTCATCGTCACACAAAAAACTAGAAATTTCTGATTTGACGAATACAATACTTTAAAACAAAATTAAATTACATCATCTAAAAAATTATTAAGGCCCGGGTGTACTATCTTTCGAATGTTATCTGATTTTTTTTTAATCTTTCGTAAACCAAAATTGTCAATTGAGTGATACATCATGTAGAAATTCCCAAAAATTATGATAGAATGATAAAAAAAATGGAAAAAATTCTGAACTTTTTCAAAGAGCGTTTTTAATTGAGATTCAGAATGAGTTGAAAAAAGTGGAAATTACAAATATCTGATTCGCTGTGGCAAATTATCTATTAGCTGTCATTTTCCATGGTGGATAACAAAACACTAACTCCTCATGGGAAGTGACAGCTAGGTATCTCAATTTTCAAAACAGTGGTATGTAGTCATCTGCCATTTTTATGTGATAAAAGTGTGATTAAAAAATTCTCCAAAATATTACAACTTTTTTCAAAGAGCCTTTTCCGTAATAAATGCCTCTGTGCAGTGTGGGAAAAGATTTACGAAATCAGTCTTCCCCCTGCATGATATTGGGTGACAGGCCGCCATTTGTCACCGTAAATCAGATACATTTTTCAATTTCTTGTTATTCAACTTATTCTGAATATAAATTAAAAATGCTCTTTGAAAAAATTAAGAATTTTTTCTACTTTTTTTTGATTATTCATTCATAATTTTTCAAAACTTCTGCATGATGCAGGACTTAATTGACAATTTCAGATGACGAAAGATGAAAAAAAACATCGAGATAACGTTCGAAAGATAGTACACCCGGGCCTTAAATTAAAATTATTTGTTGGGGATTTCCCACCTCTATAGTAGTAAAAATGTTGAAAAACTCCTGAGCTCTACACTGGAACTTCTGCTGCTGCTTGACAGTGGTTGTGGAGATCTTGTATCCGGGGGTTTTGTTATTTGATACTATAGTGGTATTCATTTGTGCTTTTACGTTGATTGCGGTCTTGCAGTTCTTTGTTATTGCCTGATTCTCGTCTTTCTTAGGGAGAATCATACCCTTGGTAAATTCTAGAATGAAAGTAATGCCAGAAATCAGAATAATTAACCACTAAAATCATGAAATTTAGATGTGATGCTGAATATTTTTATCACGTTCCATCTTGGGTCGGCTGACCTCACATTTGAATACCATTATTTTTAAGTCATTTATCTTCACCTCTTACTGTGGAAATTTATCTCTGGAGGTACTGAATCCGATTATTGACTTGGGCTGTTGCATTCGGGTCAAATAAATGAATGAAATACATGAAAATGAGGATTTAGTGGTTTCGAGGGTTATTTGACTCTCGACACCATTTGTCTTTCAAATAAAGACAAGCCGAAAAAATTCCTGGAACTTATTCGTAGACAATTAATTCTCTAAAAAGATATATTCTGACATTTTCTCGTAAACCCGTAGGAACTTCCTCATTGCAGGAAAAGCCATCAAAACAATAAAAAAAAATTCCACATGAATTTTCAGCACAAAAGTTTATTAAAGTCACTTTTATGCCCTATAAAATAATTTTTTGATGTTGAAAATTGTTAGATTTTTTTATTTCTTTGTGACACAATTTTTTTAAGATGAATTGGATTAAAAATCAATTCAATTTGATTTTATAAATTATTTTGCCAAGGGAAATAGAAACTATAAAATTGAAATTGAAGCATGGGATTCATTGTTTTGTTGAATTTCCATCGGGAAAGTAAAAAACATCAAATTTATTTTTTTTATAACTAAATCCGGGAATTTTATTGAACATGAAATTGAATTGAAGTGAATTTTATCAACTGAAAATTTTTTTTCAAGTGTAATTTATCCACTGAAAAATCTTTCTCAACGTTGAATGCCGTCGTATATTTTTATTTTGTTGACAAACCAATTTTTGAAGAAGAATTGAATAATTTAACATTGAACTGAAGTCAATTTTATCCATTAAGAAATTATTCTTCGACCCTATAAGTTGTTAGATATTTTCATTTCTTTGTGAGACTAATTTTTTAAGATGAATTGGATTAAAAATCAATTAAATTTGATTTTATAAATTATTTTGCCAAGGGAAATCGAAACTAAAATATTGAAATTGAAGCATGGGATTTACTATTTCGTCGAGTTTTCCTGATTGAAGTAAAAAACACCAAATCTATATTTTGTTTTTAAATAAATTCCGAAATTTTCTTCATCTTAAAATTGAATTGAAGTCAATTTTATCGACTAAAAAATCATTCTCAACGTTGAAAGTCGTCACATATTCTTATTTTCTTGTGAAACCAATTCTTGAGAATGAATTGAATTTGAAAATCAATTGAAATCAATGCAAAAAATTAGTTGTCCAAGCAAAAAGAAACTAAAATATTGAAACTGAAGCATGGAATTTATTATTTCGTTGAATTTACTCCAATGAAGCACATAACATAAATTAAAAAAAAAATCCTGACATTTTGTTCAGCTCAAAACTGAATTAAACTCAATATTATCCCCTGAAAAATCATTTTCGACCGTTAAAAATCATCACATATTTTGAATTCCTCGTGAAATAAATTTTTGAAGAAAAATTGAATTGAAAATCAACTGAATTTTTATTAAAAAAAAAAGTTCCACGAGAAAAGCCGTCACTTTCAATCAAAATGAACAAAATAATTCATTTACCTTGCTTCAAGGCTGTCACATACGCTTTTAGTCGTTCTCGAATGAATTCCTTTCCCTTAGTATGCAAGAAATGTTTCACGTTCTCACCCTCGTCATTACTATTTTTCAAAGTAATCTCGATCTGCAGGTGAATGAAAAAATGACGGATTAAAAATAATACAAGAGGGAACATGGAAATGATTTATGAAGGGATGGCTACTCACGTCGACTTCCGAGATGTCATTCTCCTCAGAAAGATTCGGAATGTTGATCTTTCCCTCGATTTCCTTGTCCTCCATGGACACCCACTTCAGGACCAAATTCCATTCGTAAAAAAATATCAACTTTCCTTTTCTGTTATTTACTACTGCCTCGCCCTCGCAGGTTTCTATATCGGTTATAGTTACACTAACTGCAAATGAAAGAGGTTACAAACAGTTAGTTAATTTATAATGTAATTAATTAAATTAATTATTCATGTTATTTACTAAACAGCTAGTTGATAATCATTTATTATTAGCATTATTAGTGAATGACTATTACTTAAGAATAAGAAATCAATTAATAAGATAATTAATTGTGATGAAATTATCAAGAAAGAATGGGATTTTTCGATTTTCTGAAAAAGTTATGATGTTTTTACAATGAGAAATTGTTTCGAAAAATGCCGTCCGATTTACCTTTGTCTCCCTCTATTTTAAAGTCCTTGAACAACTCCTTGATCTTCTCCTGGGACCAGGCGCAGGCATTCTTCTCCGTCCAGTGCCAATTATTGACATTAGTGGCATCAGGCCTCTCCTCGACAATCCAGCGTGGATCTCCCTCCCCCCACTTGGCCATTATCCCTCAATCTGCAGGAAAAATAGAGAATAAACATTTCTCTGTTCCCAAAAACTATTCAGAGTAAATAGATGCTGACATTCGATTTCAAACGTTGAAAGGATTTTAACGAAAAACAAGTGGGAAATTGCTCTTGTATTGCATATAGTACAGTTATTGTTGCTAATAAATTAGCAATATGCGTCCGAATGGTTATTTTACACATCATTTCCTTCTATCATGTATAATTCATTGTTTATTTCATATTATAAAATTGAATAAGATTTCTTTTCAACTAATTTTGTCAGATTTTCAACTCAGTTGAATGTTATCATCATCATTATTCTTATTATCCCTTTCTTCTGTACAACCGATTGTCTTTTTTACGGTTCTATCTCTCCCCTCAGCCCTTCGATAAAATGTTAATAGAAAAATTTTATTTATACATACTTGAATGAATTTGAAACATCACATTTGAAGAAACCATCAGAAAGCTCACTTTCAGGGAAATTCATGAAAAATTCGAAATTTTCAACAATCATCATAAAAATTAAATCAATCAATATAGCTATCGTAATCATCTTTTAACTTCGACTTAATGGCATTGAAACAAACATTTTAAGCTGATTGAATTGATTTGAAGCATGACATTCAAAGATATCCCCGGAATTCTGATTTTCAAAAAATACAAAATTTTTGCAAATTTTCAAAAAAATCAAAATAATGATTATTGCTCCGTTATTATTGCTCTTGAGCCAAATATTTCGTTGCTGTCGAGAGCTGAGCAATTATTCATGTTTGAGACTTTCAAATTTGAACCAAACAAATTCTTTTTTGGCAATTGTCAACTAGCGATTTCGTTGGCCCAAACAAGACTTGTTTGACAACGTGTTTGTTTTTCTCTCAGTGTAGAAACATTCTCAAGATTTCACGTTTACAAAAGAAACATCAACACCAACATTGAATTGCGAAAATTGCGAAGGATTTTAATCAGAAAGCCTTCAAATATTCGCAGAAATTTAAAAACATCCGCAAGATTTTATTCTGACTTGGAGCAAAAAAAAAGCAAAGATGATTATGTTAGTGCAAAATTAACGTTTCACATTGAAATAAATAAAACCGATGGATAAGCGAATGCTCTAGGGCGAAATGGGACTTTTAATAAATCTTTAACAAGAAAAAAAATGAGAAAAACACTTGAATACTCTCACTCAACTAAATTATTGTTCCTCTGCTGAAAAAATCAATAACAGCCCCTAACATTCCCAGAAATATAAAAACATTATTACGAAAATCTACGCTCCACGTGACTTCAGGGCCACTGTCAACAAATGGATTCCTCAGGGGTTTTTGGCAGAACCTCTCCAGCCCCTCAACCAACCCCTCTCTAACCTCTGAACCCCCAAACCCACCAAATCCCCCCCAAGAAATCACTTTTTCACGTCGATTAATTCACAAAAATCGCCGAATTCCTGAGAAAAGTTCTTCGACTCACCGAATCAACTGGTCTTGCTCCGAATAACCAACAGAACTCCTCGAACGCTCTCGCTTTACTCTGAAGATCAGCGAAACGTCTTGTTTTCTTTCGATCTCCCGAGACAATCAACAGAAGATGGATCCTTCGAAGTTTACAAACGCGAATCGTTCAATAAAAGTGTGTCAGCGTTTCTGGCAATCGTGCGAGGTGCAAAATCATTCAACGAATCTCGGATAATAATTTTCTGGAAACTTCACGAGGCGGATGGAACAATTCCCCCTCACTCTCCTCTTCTAGGGACGCTAAACCTCCGAAATTCCCTAGAGATTTCCGTGGTCATTTTTTTTGCTTTGAGCGCGAAATTTAACTAGACTGGAGTCTAGTTGTATTTTATATTATGATAACTATTAGTGCTCATAAGGGTCATACCTTGCGAGGGTCAAACGTCACAAGGGTCGTACCTTACAAGGGTCAAACGTCATCAGGGCCCTATCTTCCGAGGATCAAACGTCGCAAGGATCATAACTCGCAAGGGTCAAACGACAGAGTACAGGCGGGACAATCTCAAGGGTCAACTGGGAGAGGCAAGGAGGACGCGGGTCAAAGGGGAGAGCTTTCAAATATATTTCGCTCGGTATATTATTGTCTACGAAAATTTTTTCCCGCGTAATCCCGAGCTCGCAAAAGTCCCTAGATTCCCCCAGAAACCTCGGGGAACTCCCTGGAAGGTTGAGTTACACCCCCCTGCCCTGGAATGCAGCGTGGTCCTCTGAGTCATCTTTTAAACGCCAAAATGACAAAAATCATCTGACATTTTTCGTCGAAACTTGAAATTAATTCAAAAAATTGTCTGCGAAAAATTTTTCCCGCGTAATCCCGAGCTCGCAAAAGTCCCTAGATTCCCCCAGAAACCTCGGGGAACTCCCTGGAAGGTTGAGTTACACCCCCCTGCCCTGGAATGCAGCGTGGTCCTCTGAGTCATCTTTTAAACGCCAAAATGACAAAAATCATCTGACATTTTTCGTCGAAACTTGAAATTAATTCAAAAAATTGTCTGCGAAAAATTTTTCCCGCGTAATCCCGAGCTCGCAAAAGTCCCTAGATTCCCCCAGAAACCTCGGGGAACTCCCTGGAAGGTTGAGTTACACCCCCCTGCCCTGGAATGCAGCGTGGTCCTCTGAGTCATCTTTTAAACGCCAAAATGACAAAAATCATCTGACATTTTTCGTCGAAACTTGAAATTAATTCAAAAAATTGTCTGCGAAAATTTTTTCCCGCGTAATCCCGAGCTCGCAAAAGTCCCTAGATTCCCCCAGAAACCTCGGGGAACTCCCTGGAAGGTTGAGTTACACCCCCCTGCCCTGGAATGCAGCGTGGTCCTCTGAGTCATCTTTTAAACGCCAAAATGACAAAAATCATCTGACATTTTTCGTCGAAACTTGAAATTAATTCAAAAAATTGTCTGCGAAAATTTTTTCCCGCGTAATCCCGAGCTCGCAAAAGTCCCTAGATTCCCCCAGAAACCTCGGGGAACTCCCTGGAAGGTTGAGTTACACCCCCCTGCCCTGGAATGCAGCGTGGTCCTCTGAGTCATCTTTTAAACGCCAAAATGACAAAAATCATCTGACATTTTTCGTCGAAACTTGAAATTAATTCAAAAAATTGTCTGCGAAAATTTTTTCCCGCGTAATCCCGAGCTCGCAAAAGTCCCTAGATTCCCCCAGAAACCTCGGGGAACTCCCTGGAAGGTTGAGTTACACCCCCCTGCCCTGGAATGCAGCATGGTCCTCTGAGTCATCTTTTAAACGCCAAAATGACAAAAATCATCTGACATTTTTCGTCGAAACTTGAAATTAATTCAAAAAATTGTCTGCGAAAATTTTTTCCCGCGTAATCCCGAGCTCGCAAAAGTCCCTAGATTCCCCCAGAAACCTCGGAGAACTTCCTGGAATGCAGCGTGGTCCTCTGAGTCATCTTTTAAACGCCCAAGTGTGACTGCTTTCCTTCCGTCCCCCTCGTCGGACCGTAAACATAAGGATAAATAATCGTTGAAAAGGGGTCCCACCCTTTCATGTGGGACTGAGATTAATATTAATTAACGTGTACCTGTGTAGTTTAAATGGAGAGAGGTGGAAGATGGTTCTTCACGAGGGAACAATTGGCGGACACACCGTCGAGACGTGCTGGCATGGAGGCGGACAGGGAGGCTCGCTACAGACGCCAGGCCGTTAATTTCATTCGTCATGTGGGACAGAAACTTGCTCTGTATCCTTTAGCAGCATTATGTCAACTTATTTAATTATTTATCGTCGTTCTTGGGGGGTGGGTGGAGGATTTTGGACCGCTGGAGAGGTTAGGTCGTGGAGATAACCTAGAAATCGAGGAAATGAGGATTTTTTTCCATTTTGGGGGGAGTAAATTCACCTGGGATGAGGGTTTTTTGGATTTGAGGGTTGTGAAGGGTCTGTTAATTATCAGGAATTTGACTGAGAGGCATTTTGCATCGTGTTACCTTCTAGGCAACTGGAAAATCATCTTCAGGAGTCAGGATTGACAATGAATATTTTGTTTTTCTCCCTGCCTCAGTGAATTTCACGTGACAATTACTGGATTTTTTTAATCAGCTGATTGGCTGGTTGCGTCATGAGTTAATCATGAATTATATATTATTGTCAATTGAATTATTTTGCAAGAAGCATTGCAGCAATTAATGGAGGATCATTGTCAAGACTCAGTCCTGATACCAGATATGGACAAACTTTATTGGAAATGTAACTGAATAAAATATAAAACCACAGGGATAGATGTTACGTAGACATTGGGTATCGATAATGATCACGATTGCTCTCGATCTTCTCTCTAGCTCTCCTCATCGAACACTGACTCATTCCCAAACTCTCTCATCTCAGCATACTCTAATTACTTTCTTCGTTACTTAGCACTCTCTCACTAGCACCTACACTCATTCTCCATACTCTTTGTCACCCACAATGATCTCTTTAATTCCGTCACCCAGGCCACACGCATCCCCCAAAACCTCCATCTAGCATAAACATTCTTATTTTCCAAACTGTCACTCGCACCAAACACTTCTCATATCACACCTCAATTCCATAAACTCAGTCTCAAACATATCGTCTCTATTCAGTCTTTCTGATCTGATTCGTTGCCTCTTTAGCGTCACACATCCGGTCCCTCACGTATCGCCCTCTTTTCTCTTTTATTTCTTCATTCATTCACTTTAGTCTTTGAAAACACATGCACACAAAAATGGTCTCTTGACCTTTTCTCCTAGAGCCCCTCATCATCGAGATAATTACCAAGTCATCAAGCGGGGATCCTCAATTTTGTGAGACATTTTCCTTAATTGATATTCTTAATTTACAGTCCACAACTATGGATAAATACAGCCTCAATCCTCATGCACAGATTCTTCATGTATCAATCGTTCACTCGTTTCGACAGAAATGTACTGTCCCTAGCGGTTCTATTTTGCGTTGCTAAATCATTCAAGGAGGAGGACGGGAGGATATACCCAGAGCCATTCCTAAAAACTGCCCACTCCTGCCTCTACAGAGATTTACCACCCCTAGACTCCCACTCTCCCGTAAGCCACACTATTAATTCAATGAATAATGATCAATTAATATTCAACGTTTTTCAATGAGAGAACCATACAAAGTACAGAAGTAATTTCTAAGAGTTTTGTGATTTTTCCATTCCTGTTTGGTGAAAAATTGTGAAAAAATAGTTGGAGAATTTTTGTAGCAATACGAGCAGCAATTAGAGGACTTGCTGTTTTATGAGTATGTCCTGCTTGCGACACTGGGCTTTGATTTAGACATTGATCATGCACACACTCACATTTTGAAGAATTCTCATTTAGTCACTGGTAATTAAATTTTTTTTCATCGATAGTCTCTTCGGCTGAGAAGTGGTAAATCGAATATCTGGGGAAGGGGCGGATTCGGGGGAAAATGTCTCGAGACATTCTCCTCTGAGGCCACTCAGTATCGAGATAAATAAACAATTAAAAAGTTGCAAAATGTGGAATACCTGTTCTTTCGTCGATTGATCAATTGTGAATTTCGAGATTATCTCGGTAATGAAGGGTTTTAGGGCAAAATGTCAGAAGATATTTTTTGTGGGAAATTCAATTCTCTATGAAACAGGTCTACTAACATTTTTTGATAAAACCACTCAATATCGAGATAAATGAACAATCAAGAAGTTGTAAAATTTCGAATACCTTTTTTTTCGTCAACTGATCAATTGTGAATTTCGAGATTATCTCGGTAATGAAGGGTTTTAGGATAAAATGGCAAAAGACATTTTTTGTGGGAAATTCAATTCTCTGAAAAAAAGTCTATTGGCATTTTTCGATAAAAACATTGCCTCGAGAGATATTCGTAAAATAGTCTATAAATGCATTCTGGATCAGTAAAATTTTACCACTTCACTGCTGAAGTCTATTCTCTCAAATCATTTTGATTAGATTATTTATCAAGATGAATGTATTTACAGCGACCACGGCTTTAACCAAGGTTGCGCACGACATAGCATCACGCAGGTGATTAATTAGAAATAATTTCCTACTTTTTTTGCGAAAACGAAACGAATAAAATTCTAGAAAATCAACGAAAAATTGATTTAAAAAATGAATTATGTGTGAAGTAATTTTTATTCTGGAGTCTCGTTGCGAAAAGAAAAAATAGAATATTCAGGTAAATGAAAATTTTTTCTTAAAATAAAAACCACAAAAGTGTAAAATTCATTTTATAATAATCAAAACTCTTCTCACTTACGCATTTTTACAGTAGAAAATTGGTCATAAAAAAATAGAGTCTGTGTCAATGACAATGTGTTTAAGTTCACTCGACTAATAATTTCTATTTTTTTAAATTTATTGGACATTAGCCTGGAGTTCACCACGATGTGCCTGCAGTATAAACCAACAGCAGTCGCCTGTTTCTGTCTTCAGCTGGCTTGTCAATGGGCAAATTGGGAGGTGAGAATTTTCATGAACAATATTTCGAATTAGTTTATTCTTAATTGTTGAAGCAATTAAGAATAATCAATGAAAAAAAAAAATTCGTTCCAGTGAAATTTTTTTTTAATAAATACATGAGAATTCAATTCGTGAGAAATTTCTCAATTTCATGATTTCTTGGATTTTACCAAAAGTATCAATTAAAAAATGTACCTTAAATTTTCTCATATTTCCTCATAAATTTCCAAACGAAAAACAAGTGGACAATTGTCCATTTTGGTGACAATTTTTTAAGTGATCTTCCAAAAATCGATTTTTGGAACAATACCAATTTTTTTGAATCTATATAAAAAATTGCACTTCAGTAGTTGTTAATGAATAGAGTTCACTAAACTCTGCATTCCCTAAAAAAAATCATGAAATTTGATTGACCCCTAACAACAAAATTTCGAAAAAAGACTGCCTACCCCCCAAAAAATTGGAAACTGAAATAAAAAATCACGAAACAATAATTCCCCAGATACCTCCCCCGAAGGACGGTAAGCCCTGGTTCCACCAAGTCGACGAGACGCTCACCCAGGACCTGATCAACCACCTGCTCTCCAAGTTTCGTCACAACGTTGGTGGCTACTACCCCCACCTCCAGGAGAAGATAATGTCGTTCTGCTACAAGAACAGTCCAGTCACCCCTCACCCCAGCCCCTCGCACTCCCCCTGGAGGGAGCCCCCCAAGGTCCACTGCCCCCTCCCCTCCCCAGACCCCAGCTGCCCCCTGGCAGGTTCCTCAGGTCCCCCCAACCCCCAATTTCCACCCCCTCAACCCCATCCCCGCCCCTTCCAGCGTCCTCCAGACTACCTCCACCCCCCGCCACCCCCTCACCCCCACCAAAAAGATCACCAAAGCCCCCCAGATCCCTCCAAACCCCGTCCTCTCCCCAGAAGTCATCACCAGAGGCTTCAAAACTCCTCAAAAAATTATTCACCTGCTCCTGGGCACCACCACCGTCACCACCAGAAGCCACCAAACCCTTTAAAAAGCCACTCAAATGCTCAAAATCCTCCAGGACACCATCACAGGCATCACCTGGAGCATCACCAGAAGTCGGCAGACCTCAGCTACCTCAACTCCCCCATCATGACCCCAGACATCCCCGAGGACCAGAGAATAGAGAGTTCAGGGGGAAAAATCGTCAGCTCGATGACCCCAGGGGCTCCAGTAATTCAACCAAATCTAGAGGCCCCTGATGACCTCCTGGAGATGGCACCCCCTGACAACTTCGACTTCGAGCACACCTTCATGAACGTGATGGAGAGTTTGACGTCGATAACGAAACCAGACACTTGTAGATTGGATAAATCAGATGGGGGGGCTGGAGGGCTGCAGGAGGTGCCCTCGATGCCTTCTGGAGTCGATTCCATAGACTCCGGAGTATTTTCTCAGTCTCTGAGTCAACCATTGAGTCAAGGAAACATCCCTCAGGGTTCGGACTCTCAGTTGAAACGAAAATTTGAGGCAATTTCAGGGAAAAACGAATCGTTCTCTTCGATTTTCGATCCTCCAGATGATGTGGACGAGGCACATCTCGAGGGTTTAGATGACAATGACAATGATCTCTCGAGGAGTGACAGGAAGAGGAAGAGGAAGAAGGATAAGCACAAAAGGGAGAGGAGGAGGGAGAGGAAGGAGAAGGAGAGGGCTGAGAGGGAGAGGGCAGTATCACCGATTACACTTAAAATTCCACGTGAGAAACTGGGAAATTTTGGAGACGACATTGATAAGGGCCTGGGGGAGGAGGGGGCGATGAGGAGAAAGAGGCAGAGGGAGGACGACGGGGAGGTAGAGGCGAAGAGGAGATATCAGGGAGATTAAGGAGAGAGAATATGACTGAGTTGTGTGGGAGTTGGTTATCTAGTGCCTTAGATGCATTTCTACTTTGAAAAATGATTTTCAAGTTTGAGAGATGTTGGAAGTTACCAGATTACTTGATTTATAGTAAAGTTTATTTGATAATTATTTGGTTGTTGGTGATTTATTTCGGGGTGTGAGGGGAGGGAAACTGATTGATGACTTCATTGAGAAGTAATTAGGTCACTGAAGATTCTAGATTTTTGTTGGAAATCGTTTGAAATGTCAACATAATTTCAGATCGAGGGAACTTCATTCGTAGTTCTTTTTTATTTGTAGCGGTTTCGTTAAAATGAGAATTATTATTTATTTTCGCGATTATTATTAGAATGAAGAAAGAATTTCCGTCTGAATTGTCGATTGTCTCGATAATGAGTGACTTTAGGAGAAAATGTTATAGAACATTTCATTTAGAAAATTCAATTTCCTTGAAGAAAGGTCTTCTTACATTTTCTCTTAAACCCACTTATTTTCAAGATAATGACTTAATTAATGGGGATTTAATTTCTTCACTAGTTTTTTCTAACTTACCTACAGATTCCCACGTGGTTATCGACAAGACCCCACTTCCCTCTCCCTTTCAGACTCAGTCGCGAGTCATCCGGTGCAGCACTAGAAGAAATAAATAAAAGTGAATTCATTGCATTCTCCCATTTTCAATAACTCGTGAATGAAGAATTGACACGAGTAATTGGATAACAGGTGAGCATCTCCAATTAATCATCTTCATTTGCCTCATGCAGAGACAAATTGTTTGAAGTTCGTTCAAAGTTCTAGACGATTGTTTGGTTATGGAATGATTTCATCCCTCTCAATTCTTCCATCAGTTTGTTTATGAATTCTTCGGATTGAATGATTGATTAATTATTGAGGCGAAGGAGAAGAATCGGTCACAATCGACAACGTGTTTGTTTATCTCTCAGTGCTGAGTGATATATCCCTTTCCCCACAGAAAAATCCAACAGAATTCAACAATAAAATGCTCCCCCAAATTTTTTTCCAGGATCATCATCATCCCCAGGACATCCCACCAACAATGTCATCCCTAGGAGGTAAAGTACTTCCCCCCTTTCGTGAGATATTCCGCGTTCCCCCTCGCGACTCCCTCCAGTGGTTCCCAGGGCACATGCACAAAGGTCTCCGCCAAATGCAGCAGAAGCTCAAATCGGTGGACGTAATCATCGAGGTTCACGACGCTAGAGTCCCCCTGTCTGGTCGCTACGAGCAGTTCAAGAACACAGTCAGCGGCATCAAGCCCCACATCTTTGTCCTCAACAAGAAGGACCTCACGGATTTGTCGAAAGCGCGAGTGTTCGAGGAGAGACTGAAATCCGAAGGCATTAACAACGTCATCTGGACGAATTTCAAGGACCAGCAGTGCAAAGGGATGCACTCGATCCTCCCCACAGCCTTGAAACTCATAGAAGAGTCGAAGCGATACAACAGAGCTTTTCAAGAGGTAACAAATCAAGATGACATGCACTGAGAAAAATTTCAATGGTAATTTTAACAACAAGGGAGTTGTCAAAGAAATTATATTTACAGTAACAATGAACTTTGTAGATTAAACTGGGATTCCTCCACATTATGATGTCATTTTCACTTTAATGTAATAGTTGAATCTACAATATTTATTGTTACCGTAACTATTATTTTTTTGACAATTCCCTTGTAGTTGAAATTACCATTGAAATTTCTCTCAGTGTAAATCCAGGGGTTGGGTTGTTAATAACTGATCGAAAATCCCCTGACGTAACTATCAGTGGTGACTGTCACCCAATATCATGCGGGGGGAAGACTGATTTCGTAAATCTTTTCCCACACTGCACAGAGACTTTTATTACGGAAAAGGCTCTTTGAAAAAGGTTGTAATATTTTGGAGAATTTTTTAATCACACTTTTATCACATAAAAATGGCAGATGACTACATACCACTGTTTTGAAAATTGAGGTACCTAGCTGTCACTTCCCATGAGGAGTTAGTGTTTTGTTATTCACCATGGAAAATGACAGCTAATAGATAATTTGCTACAGCGAATCAGATAATTGTAATTTCCACTTTTTTCAACTCATTCTGAATCTCAATTAAGGGTGCCAAGTGAATTTGGCGATGACCTTGAAAATTGACATTCACCAACAAAGTTATAATTTTTTTAATTAATAGTATTAGACAGATGGTGAACATCGGTGACAATTTTAAAATTTTAGAACTTATGGATATCGAGAAATTGAATAAACAAAATCAGTCTTATACACGGCCTCTTGTGGAGTTTTGATTAAATTGAACGTTTCAACCCCCTAGGAACTCAAGAAAAATTTAAAAAAATTTGAAAATATGGGGAATGATGTGTTCAATGTTATGGCGACGAAAAACAATGGAGTTCCGGGGTGAATAAGAGAGATATTTCAACCCGCCGTACCCATTTGATCCCATGCTTTCTCGAGGTTCGTCACGCGAAATAGAGGATTTTCCGCATTTATTTTCTCGATGTCTAGTTCCGGTTGCGGGTTTGAAATTTCGTCGGATGGATGAATACATATTTCTCCAATGATGGAGGGAAAGAAAAAATTTTTTTTGAATCTTTTTTCAAATTCACTTGGCACCCTTAAAGATGCTCTCTAAAAAAGTTCAGATTTTTTTCTATTTTTTTGATCATTCTGTCATAATTTTTGGGAATTTCTACATGATGTACCAGTCAATTGACAATTCTCGATTACGAAAGATCAAAAAATCCAGATAACATTCGAAAGATAGTACACCCGGGCCTCAATCGAGAAAAAGAATTTTAAAAGTATTATTCTTCGCCCAATGAATTTCGAAATTAGAAAACAAGCAATTAATCATTCACGAAATATCCCTATTCATTATAGACAAGCCTACGCCATTTCTCTTGTTATCTACCATGGAAAATGACAGCCAATAAATAATTTGCCACAGCGAATCAGATATTTGTAATTTCCACTTTTTTCAACTCATTCTGAATCTCAGTTAAAAACGCTCTTTGAAAAAGTTCAGATTTTTTTCCATTTTTTTTTATCATTCTGTCATAATTTTTGGGAATTTCTACATGATGTACCAGTCAATTGACAATTCTCGATTACGAAAGATCAAAAAATCCAGATAACATTCGAAAGATAGTACACCCGGGCCTCAATCGAGAAAAAGAATTTTAAAAGTATTATTCTTCGCCCAATGAATTTCGAAATTAGAAAACAAGCAATTAATCATTCACGAAATATCCCTATTCATTATAGACAAGCCTACGCCATTTCTCTTGTTATCCACCATGGAAAATGACAGCCAATAGATAATTTGCCACAGCGAATCAGATATTTGTAATTTCCACTTTTTTCAACTCATTCTGAATCTCAGTTAAAAACGCTCTCTAAAAAAGTTCAGATTTTTTTCCATTTTTTTTAATCATTCTGTCATAATTTTTGGGAATTTCTACATGATGTACCACTGAATTGACAATTCTCGATTACGAAAGATCAAAAAATCCAGATAACATTCGAAAGATAGTACACCCGGGCCTCAATCGAGAAAAAGAATTTTAAAAGTATTATTCTTCGCCCAATGAATTTCGAAATTAGAAAACAAGCAATTAATCATTCACGAAATATCCCTATTCATTATAGACAAGCCTACGCCATTTCTCTTGTTATCCACCATGGAAAATGACAGCCAATAGATAATTTGCCACAGCGAATCAGATATTTGTAATTTCCACTTTTTTCAACTCATTCTGAATCTCAGTTAAAAACGCTCTCTAAAAAGATCAGATTTTTTTCTATTTTTTTTATCATTCTATCATAATTTTTGGGAATTTCTACATGATGTACCACTGAATTGACAATTCTCGATTACGAAAGATCAAAAAATCCAGATAACATTCGAAAGATAGTACACCCGGGCCTCAATCGAGAAAAAGAATTTTAAAAGTATTATTCTTCGCCCAATGAATTTCGAAATTAGAAAACAAGCAATTAATCATTCACGAAATATCCCTATTCATTATAGACAAGCCTACGCCATTTCTCTTGTTATCCACCATGGAAAATGACAGCCAATAGATAATTTGCCACAGCGAATCAGATATTTGTAATTTCCACTTTTTTCAACTCATTCTGAATCTCAGTTAAAAACGCTCTCTAAAAAAGATCAGATTTTTTTCTATTTTTTTTATCATTCTGTCATAATTTTTGGGAATTTCTACATGATGTACCAGTCAATTGACAATTCTCGATTACGAAAGATCAAAAAATCCAGATAACATTCGAAAGATAGTACACCCGGGCCTCAATCGAGAAAAAGAATTTTAAAAGTATTATTCTTCGCCCAATGAATTTCGAAATTAGAAAACAAGCAATTAATCATTCACGAAATATCCCTATTCATTATAGAGAAGGCTACGCCATTTCTCACTTTCATCATATTATGAAACCCTTCGCCGCAACTGTTAAGATCCACAATTTTTTTCTTTGGCATGCACCCAATGATCAGGAGTACGCAGCGATGGTGATAGGAGTTCCAAACGTGGGCAAATCCTCCCTGATCAATCGCTTGAGAAACAAACACATGAGGAAGGGCAATGCCACAGCTGTTGGTGGAATTGCAGGCATCACCAGATCAGTCCTAACCAGGATCAAAGTGTCTGAGAAGCCACCGGTGTACGTCCTGGACACTCCGGGAATCCTTGCGCCCTACATCAAGGACGCCATCTCAGGTCTGAAACTAGCCCTCGTCGGATGCCTCCAGGATCACCTCGTTGGCCCTCAAGTAATTGCAGACTATTTGCTGTTCTGGCTGAATAAGAACGGGAAATTCGAGTACGTGGAGAAGCTGGGGCTGCAGGCACCCACCGATGACATCCTCGAGGTGCTGACCATCTCAGCTGTAAAGATGGGGAGGAGCATGAAGTTCAAACGATTCGATGGACAAATGATCGTCAGACCTGACTTTAATTATGCTGCTGAACACTTTTTGAGGGTCTTCAGGAGTGGGGAACTGGGGGGAATTTGCCTCGATAATGACGCTGTGGGGGCGGTCGGCGAGGGGGGAGGGGGGAGGGAGGGGTGAAGTGGAGGTGGTGGACGTGTGGAAATGGGGAAGACGGGGGTGAAAAAAAAATTAGAGGAGAGCTTGGACATTTGATGGAAATTGTCATTGGAATTATATTTTTTGTTTTGATGATTTGACGTGATTACGATACCTTTGGCGTCGAGATTTAACATATTTTCTGTACCATTTTTCCTCGGGATTGTGAGAAAAATAATGAGAATATTCCGTCTTCATTTTTTTTCCTGAATTATGGAGATTTTCGAATTTTTTACTTTTTTTTTTATTGGCTCCCTCCGCTCGCCAACCCCCATACGGCCCCCGTGATCCGTAGCCTGACCCTTGTAACCCTTAATCTGGCTCCCGTGACCCTTATTTTAACCCTTCATTTCTGACCCTTATTTTGAAGTACCAAATTTTGATCACCAGAAGTCGATTTGGATTTCTGTAATATACAGAGATATATAGAGACCCTTATTTTGACCCTTGCGGCCCTTAATGTTTAATCTTGTAATCCGACCCATGTGACCCTCATTTGGATTCTTGATCTGATCCTCATAACCCTCGTGACCCTTAATTTGACCCATGACCTTTAATCTGACCCTCGTGACCCTCAATTTGATCGTCGTTGAACTTATTCTGACTCGTAACCCTTATTCTAACCCTCTCGACCCTTATTTTGACCCTCATGACCCTTGCGGCCCTTAATCCTTAATCTTGCAATACTTAATCCGACCCATGTGACCCTTATTTGGATCCGTGATCTGACCCTCATTATAACCTTCGTGATCCTTAATTGGATCCCTATGATTTTTAATCTGACCCTCGTAGCCCTTAATCTGATCCTTGTGACCCTTAATCTCCTCGTCGTTGAGCTTATTCTCCCTCATGATCCTTATTGTGACCCTTGCGGCCCTTAATCCTGTAATTCTCAATCCGACCCATGTGACCCTTATTTGGATCCTTGATCTGACCCTCATTATAACCCTCGCGACCCTTAATTGGATCTCTATGACTTTTAATCTGACCCTTGTAGCCCTTAATCTGACCCTTGTGACCTTTAATCTGATCGTCGTTGAGCTTATTCTGACCCTCGTGATCTTTATTCTGACCCTCAGGACCCTTACTTTGACCCTCGTGGCCCTTATTCTCACCCTCTCGACCTTATGCTGACCCTCATAATCCTTATTTTGACCCTTGTGACCGTTAATTCGAAGTCTTAATTTCGAGTACCAAATTTTCGTCACCAGAAGTCAATTTGGATTTTTATAATGTAGAAATTTTTCTTTATTTTTACCTTTTCATGTCCTTTTCAACAGTCTTGGAGTGTTGGAATTGGCGGGTTTAAGGGGGGGGGGGGGGGGGAAAAAAAAAAAAAATTGGNAAAAAAATTGGGATATATGTTCCTCCACTCTTATCTCCTCATATTTCGTTTCGGCATTTTTTAAGGTGTTTAAATTTTTTGGACCATCTTCAATAATTTCTTTTGTGTTTTATAAAATTCATCAAAAGTTCAAGAATAATGACTTCATAATTTAGATCTTTTTACTATTTAATTGTCTATTGTCTTGTTTATATCTTGATAAATAATTGAGCTTAAATTTTTCAAAATTATTTTTCTCGTATTTCTGAGGAAAAATGGTACGGAAAACCCATGTCGAATAGCGGCACCAAAGGAATTGTAATTTTCCCGATAATTTCTATGGGAAATTGAGCAATTTTTTAGATTTTTGAGAGAAAAAGTCAGTAGATTTTTATAACAATTTTTCAATTTCTTTTAGATTTTTGCGCGAACTTTTGCTTGAAGTTCTATTGGAATTTCATTGGCAATTCTATTTGTTTACATAAAATTAGGTAATGGATGTTTATTTTTCCATGCAACTCATGCTATTGCTATTTCTCTATAGGAATTCTTAGGCATGAATTTTTCTTTTTTTTTGTGAATTTTGTAATGAAATTTAAAACGGAATACCGAATAAACTTGGAAATTCTTCCCAGAAATTTTGATATAAATGATCGGAATCGGATTAGATGGAAGAATAAAAATTTATCCATCATTTGAAAGGACATCAGAATAAACGAGTAGAATTAAAAATGGAGTTTTCATGGAATTCCAACACTATTTACCATCGATTGCTCTAGATATTCCATTGAAATTTTTCATCCGTGCAGATCTCTTCTACATTTTTTTGTGAATAACTCAAGAATGAAGCAGTTTAGAGAAAAATGTTGTACGATATTTTCTGCAGAGAATTCAATTTTCGATAAAAAAAGTCATCTCACATTTTTTCCTAGGACTTTCCAGTACTGAGTTAATTTCGATATTAACCAGTGAAGATTTTACAAAAGTTGATTCAACAGTTTCTCATTTCATGATGTTGAATTGCTGGATTTTCTCAGGAATGAGTGGATTGCGGAAAAAATGTCAGAAAACATTTCTTGTAGAAAATTTCATGGGTAGTAAAAAAGGTTCAGTGAGATTTCCACCTAAGCCTCATGATTTCAGAGATATTTGAGAAATAAGCTGAACGATTTCGTGAAATCATTGTAAATATAGAGTAATTTGTTATAAATTGTACAGTTTATGAAAAATAAATTCTAATCAAGTGGAATCACTTGTTCTGTTGGTCTGGCAATTATTAGAGAAGTTGAACCCCTCATTTATTTCTTTATTATTTCCTGTAAATCTCATAGAAACATAAAATTGTTTAAATTATCTCATCTTTTTCCTAACTTGAAAGTTCTCTATAGTTTATTTCGTAAATATCTCTGCAGCCATCACAGTTAACAAAAAATATCAGAAGAAATGTTTTGCGTAAAATTGAATTCTCCACAAAAATTTTCTTGTGACATTTTTTCCTAAATCCCTTTCTTCGGGAGATATTCGCGAAATAATGGGCGAAAAATCTGAAAATTGAAAAAAAAATGAATTTCTGGTGAATTTCTCAGTTCCAGGCTTCCAGTAATGCAAAAGTATCTCCAAAAATGACCAAAGGTCTTCAATTATCACTTGCCATTCACCTCAATCCCCCACCATCGACCCCCAGGGTTCCACCTCTTCGTCACCTCTCCACCACTTGCCAACTTCCTCGCACTTTCTCCCACTGACTTTCAAGAGTTCAAACGCACTGAACTGAATCCAACTCAGTTCTCTCAATTTTTTATCGTGTAGAGTTGATTCTGACCTCCAACTGTGATTTCTATTTCGCTATTGACAAGTTTTTTGTTTATTTATTGTCGTGATAATTATTTTAGCAAGCATGTTTGCGAGAGCAACGTTTCTCCCAACATTATTCTACAACATGATGATGGAAAAAGTCACGTCGAGACGGTGGTACGACAGAATTGATGAGACTGTTATACTCGGTGCTCTTCCCTTCAGAAGCATGACGAAAAAGGTGAGACACGCGGGGAATTGCTCTTGCCTTCTATAGCATAGCTATTTTTGCTGATAAATTAGCAATTGCTTCCAAATGGACATTTTAGACATGATTTTCATCTATCGCATGTCGTTTATCGTTTTGTATTATTCTGTTCAGTTGAATTATATTTGTTGTTTAATCAATTGTGTTATTAAACACAATTGTGTTATTAAACAATTGTTGCAAACTAGTTTTATTATTTATTTAGAAGAGGGAAATGTTTGAAAAATATCAATATTTTGGGAAATTTAATTTAGATAATAATGACTGGGTATGAGTTTTTTCAAATTTTTTCCATGCAATTTAGTTGAAAAATTGACATGATTTTCATTTATCGTATGTCGTTTATCGTTTTGTATTATTCTGTTCAGTTGAATTATATTTGTTGTTTAATCAATTGTGTTAGATCTCTTGTGAAATTTCTTAAAGTAGTTCTACCCTTACGGTAAATTCAAAGATTATTGAAAACTGCAAAAAAATTGCAGAAAACTCCATTAGATTCGGAATTCTAATTTTTTCCTCAATTTAATTATCGTTTTGATTTGTCAAAGAAGAAATGTTTATAAATCAGGATTTAACCCAGTGTCTTATGTGAAAATCAACATTTCCATTGTAATCAAAGATTAAAATCTGAATTTTTTTTCATTAGATGTGAAAAAATCAAGAATTCTTTTGACACCTCTTAAAAAATAATCCACCGCTTTGCAAACTAGTTTTATTATTTATTTATAAGAGGGAAATGTTTGAAAAATATCAATATTTTGGGAAATTTAATTTAGATAATAATGACTGGGTATGAGTTTTTTCAAATTTTTTCCATGCAATTTAGTTGAAAAATTGACATGATTTTCATTTATCGTATGTCGTTTATTGTTTTGTACTATCCTGTTCAGTTGAATTATATTTGTTGTTTAATCAATTGTGTTAGATCTCTTGTGAAATTTCTTAAAGTAGTTCTACCCTTACGGTAAATTCAAAGATTATTGAAAACTGCAAAAAAATTGCAGAAAACTCCATTAGATTCGGAATTCTAATTTTTTCCTCAATTTAATTATCGTTTTGATTTGTCAAAGAAGAAATGTTTATAAATCAGGATTTAACCCAGTGTCTTATGTGAAAATCAAAATTTCCATTGTAATCAAAGATTAAAATCTGAATTTTTTTTCATTAGATGTGAAAAAATCAAGAATTCTTTTGACACCTCAAAAAATAATCCACCGCTTTGCAAACTAGTTTTATTATTTATTTATAAGAGGGAAATGTTTGAAAAATATCAATATTTTGGGAAATTTAATTTAGATAATAATGACTGGGTATGAGTTTTTTCAAATTTTTTCCATGCAATTTAGTTGAGAAATTGACATGATTTTCATTTATCGTATGTCGTTTATCGTTTTGTATTATTCTGTTCAGTTGAATTATATTTGTTGTTTAATCAATTGTGTTAGATCTCTTGTGAAATTTCTTAAAGTAGTTCTACCCTTACGGTAAATTCAAAGATTATTGAAAACTGCAAAAAAATTGCAGAAAACTCCGTTAGATACGGAATTCTGATTTTTTTCTCAATTTAATTACCGTTTTGGTTTGTCAAAGAAGAAATGTTTATAAATCAGGATTTAACCCAGTGTCTTATGTGAAAGTCAACATTTCCATTGTAATCAAAGATTAAAATCTGAATTTTTTTTCATTAGATGTGAAAAAATCAAGAATTCTTTTGACACCTCTTAAAAAATAATCCACCGCTTTGCAAACTAGTTTTATTATTTATTTATAAGAGGGAAATGTTTGAAAAATATCAATATTTTGGGAAATTTAATTTAGATAATAATGACTGGGTATGAATTTTTTCAAATTTTTTCCGTGCAATTTAGTTGAAAAATTGTTTTTTGAAATCCGACTCCTACACATCTGATTTCGGTTTTTTTTCATATAAAAAAATTCACTACTTGTGTAAAAAAATACAAAAAAAGCAAATTTAGCCATTTAAGGGGTGAATTTAAGAAAAACTAGCTCGTAATGGTTATTCCACATATTTTTCCGAAAATTAAAAAAAAATCATTTGTAGCTCAACAATTGGAGGCCCTGGACTGTTTTTGGCATTTTAAACATTTTCGGGTAAACGAACAATAAAAAAATTTTTTTTGCACTAATTATTCGTTTTCAGATCTATATAATCGATCTTCAGCGTAAGAAAAGTCTCACTCCAATACCCCACGACTTTTAAAACTCACAGGACTCTCCCCTTAAGACGTGGGTCATAATTGGTTGATACAACACGAAAAACCCAAAATTTAAATTTTAACGATCACACAACTTTCATTCGGAAGTAAAAATCAATTAAGGAACTTTCAAAAATTCTACGTAACTAAAATTTTTCATGAAACTAATTTAGTTTTCCAACGTTTTTGCAGTTGATTACAGAAGAAAATATTGGTGCAGTGGTTTCCATGAACGAGGATTATGAATTGAAATTATTTTCGAATACTGGAGAGGTAAATAAATATTGTACATGAGTATCATAAATATCTATTAAATATAAAATAAATAGGGAGAGTTCAGTAATCAAAACACGAAAATTGGAAACTAAAATCACGTGAACTTGTAACTTAAAAAAAAAATTCAGGACATCTTCATTTGTAAAAAAAACGAATTCGAAAGCTAAATTTTTTAGGAATATCTGCGAATCTAAGGGAGATACCGAAATTTTCGTAATGACCTTTTTTGTAGAGCGAACTGAGAGCTATAAAAAAGGTAATATCAAAAATTGTGGTATCTCCCCCAGATTTCGAGATATTCATTAAAAACTGGCCAATGGTTTCGTAACTGATTTGAAAGGAAAAAAAGTGAAAATAAATCAGATTTAATTTTTAAAAAATTGTTTAAAAGATAGATTGACCTCCTATTGCCCTCAGGAATGGTCAAAGCATGGAGTACAATTCCTCCAGCTATCAACCACCGACATCTTCGAGACCCCGTGTCAAGACAAGCTCCAGAAAGGCGTGAATTTCATAAATCAGTTCCAAGGAAACCTTTCTCATGTAAATGACACAGATAAGAGATTACCAGGCACAGTCTACGTGCATTGCAAGGCAGGGAGGACGAGGAGTGCGACTCTAGTTGGGTGTTACCTCATGAAAGTGAGTTATTCTCCCTTTCCTCAAGTATGAGAAAATTGAATAAAAAATCTTGAAAACTTATCCTTTGAAATTCCCTTTGAAATTCTATTATTGTTCCGATTTATATTAAAAATTCGTCATTTTAATTTATGCATTGATTTTTTAATCAAATATTTTCTAGTGAAATGCAGAAAATTCATGCGAAGTACAGCAGAATTTCAATAGCATTTTCCTCTTGAATTTTTTCATTAGTGCAAATAATTTTTTTTCATTCAAAATTCAATGCTTTTTCTACGCAATACAATAATACAATACTAATATAATAGTATTATAGTTTTATATAATTACTCGCCTAAAATATTTGATGAGAAAAAATCAAGATTTCGATTTTTTTATAGAAAAAATATGAACGAAATTGATTGAATGAGAGAATCGACACCTATTAATCTTTTTCTATCAGATATTTTCTAGTGAAATGAAGACAATTTATAGGAAGATTTTAATGGCATTTTCCCTCTTGAATTTTCCATTCGTACGAATAATTTCTTTTAATGTGAAAAATAAAAAAAAATGATTTTTTCGATTTTAGAAACACGGATGGAAATTCCCTTTGCAATTCTATTATTGTTCTGATATGTATTAAAAATTCTTGATTTCAATTCATGCATTGATTTTTTTTAATCAGGTATTTTCCAGTAAATGTTAATATTAATTTTTAGTAGAACTTTAATAGTATTTTCCTCCTTGAATTTTTTTATTAGTCCAATTTTTTTTTTTCATTTAAAATTAGAATAATAGTATTGCAGTGTTATATAGTTGCTCGTGGAAAATATTTAATGGGAAAAAATCAAGATTTCGATTTTTTGATAGAAAAAATATGAACAAAATAGATTAAATGAGAGAATCGACATCTGTTAATTTTTCTCTATCAGATATTTTCTAGTGAAATGAAGACAATTCATAGGGAGATTTCATTTCATTCAGGAGGGAATGGCATTTTCCCGCCTGAATTTTCCATTAGTACGAATAATTTTTTTTTAATGGGAAAAATGAAAAAACATTTTTTTTTTCGATTTTAGAAACACGGATGGACCCCTTCAGAGGCTGTAGACTACATGAAGAGCAAAAGGGAACATATCCTTCTCCACACAGCCCAGTGGAGAGCCCTAAGACTGTACCATCAAAATCACGTTGAAAATCAAAGAGAAAAAATTTAGAAAATTATAGTTAATTATTTTTTATACATATTGACATTGAAAAGACGTGTTCCCATGTGTTTTGTGGATGAAAAACGATTTAATGAATCTAGTTTATTCACAAATTGAATTGAAAATGAAGAATTCGTTCCATTATTTTCGAATTCATGACTTTTTGCAATTTTTTAGAGCAAAATCCTTCGCCTCTTCGAGAGATTCATTCACTCTAGAGTCTATTTCTGCTCTCGGGAGTTTGAAAACTTTTACGTGACTAGTTAATAGTGGATTTTCGTCGGCGAAAGAACCTATTGTTGATTTCATAACATTGTTCACTGATCTCATCCATAATTCAGCGTTGAAGTCCTTCGTCACACAATTCTGGAATGAAAAAAATAATTCAAATCGTTATTACTTCACCTAAAGTTCAAGTTTTAATTCCAAACAAAAGATTTTCAAGCACTTTTCAATTAACTTCGATAAATAATAATTCAAATTTGATGAAACATCATTTTTTAAACTTAAGGCCCGTTTCTGCTATCTTTCGAATGTTATCTGTATTTTTTTTCTCTTTCGTAATCGAAAATTGTCAATTGAGTGGTACATCATGTAGAAATTCCCAAAAATTATGATAGCATGATAAAAAAAAATAGAAAAAATTCTGAACTTTTTCAAAGAGCGTTTTTAATTGAGATTCAGAATGAGTTGAAAAAAGTGGAAATTACAAATATCTGATTCGCTGTGGCAAATTATCTATTAGCTGTCATTTTCCATGGTGGATAACAAAACACTCACTCCTCATGGGAAGTGACAGCTAGATCACAATTTTCAAAACAGTGGTATGTAGTCATCTGCCATTTTTATGTGATAAAAGTGTGATTAAAAAATTCTCCAAAATATTACAACTTTTTTCAAAGAGCCTTTTCCGTAATAAAAGTCTCTGTGCAGTGTGGGAAAAGATTTACGAAATCAGTCTTCCCCCTGCATGATATTGGGTGACAGGCCACCATTTGTCACCGTAAATCAGATACATTTTTCAATTTCTCGTTATTCAACTTATTCTGTATATAAATTAAAAATGCTCTTTGAAAAAATGAAGAATTTCTTCCACTTTTTTTTGATTATTCATTCATAATTTTTCAAAACTTCTGCATGATGCAGGACTCAATTGACAATTTCAGATGACGAAAGATGAAAAAAATATCGAGATAACGTTCGAAAGATAGTACATCCGGACCTTGAAGTGAAATACTATTTTAATTTACAACAACTAATGAGCGATTAATTTATTCTTCACCTGTGGAACGAAACATCGAGCCTTGACTTTTCTCCTCCCCTTGGCAATAATAAAAATGGGTTTCTCTGGAGACAACTCTCCAGCTTTCTGCAAGGGAATGCCGTCGGCTTCGATTGAGTTCGATTGAAGACAGTGAACGACGAAATTCTCGTTTGTGTTCTTCACTGCGTAATTGATTTCACTGTTCATGAAGTTCTCGGCCATCTCTCGTCTCTCGTTAACGTTTTTGGAGGCCTCTGGAGCTACTAGAGGAACTTTTGAAAATTGTTCCAAGATCGTGGAGGGCAGATTTCGCACCTGAGGACCTGCCACGGCTGTTATTGTCCTAGAGGACGAGCCCTTCGACGTCACTTCGATTATTCGAAAGTGGTTCAAGGCACTTGTGTTGTGCACGTGGGTCCCACAACATGCCTCCCTAAAAAATAATGAAAAATTGATTGATTAATTATGAAAGCGATCAATTATCGTTTGAAGATGGTGAAGTTTTTGGTGAAATTAATTTTTTCAAGCTGAAGAGATTTTTTATAGATAAAAAATCATGCGAATTAATTGACAAGTGATTTTTTCATCGAATAAACATGAATAATCACGACTTTCATCATCTCAATTTTCTCTTTTCGACAGAAATTCGCATTAAAAAAATGGAAAATCAGTTGAATTTAATATTCGAAATAATAAAGAAATAGATTGTTCTCACTTGGATTTCAAATGATTCCCATCAATCTCCACAATCCTCAGATGTTTCCCTGGATAAATCATCCCAGGAACTAGAACCAACTCCTCCTCCCTATTAAATCCAATAGAATCCACGATTTTGGTCTTCACAGGGACTTTAGCATCGATACAATCATTGATCAACGTCTCTATTGACTTAATAATCTCAGGAGTGATGGCTTTCCCATAGGCACTGAATTGGAAAATGAGATTGTCATGCCTGACGATACTTCCTCTCTGAGAAATTGCTGGGAACACTTTCCTGAGTGCAGAGTTGAGGAGATGCGTGGCTGTGTGATGCCTCATCATCGAGACCCTGTGGTTTTTATCCAAAGATAATTTCACGTCGTCATTGATTGATAGTTCATTGGTTTGTTCGGTGAAATTCGATGGGTCAAAGCTTCCCACGTGAATCACGTAGTCCTGGAGTTTTTGCACCTCTGAGACGTTGAAGACTAGATTTTTCATCATCAGGTGGCCTTTATCCGAGAGCTGACCCCCCTCTGGGGTGTAGAATGCGGTTTTATCAAGGATTACTCCAATCTGTTTAGTTTTCAGGGAAGAGTTCAGGGGGAAAGATTTTTCTTCTATTAATTTACCTGAAAAAATTACATTGAGCATTAATTTTTCGTTAAACTTACTGATTACAAAGATAAAGACATTCTGAGAACTGATTTTTCATTGAATTGCACGCATTTGATGGCCCGTGCCATGCAGTTTATTATTTTGAGCTTTGAAATAGTATTGTATTCTTAGTTTTTAAGCATGCACCAAAAGATTTTGCACCTGTAGTCTTGTCAAATGGCTAGTAACTTTTGATAACTAATGACAACTTTTTACTTATTTTTAAGATTTTAGAATTTTTGGATTCTAGGAGTTTAGGATGTGAGGATTTTAGAATTCACGGATGCTAGGATTTTAGAACTTTGGGATTTCAGGATTCTAGGATTTTAGAATTTTGGGATGTAAGGATTTTAGGATCCTAGGATTTTAGAATTCAAGGATGCTAGGATTTTAAAATTTTGGGATATTAGGATTCTAGGATGCTAGGATTGTAGAATTTTGGGATATTAGGATTCTAGGATGCTAGGATTGTAGAATTTTGGGATATTAGGATTCTAGGATGCTAGGATTGTAGAATTTTGGGATATTAGGATTCTAGGATGCTAGGATTGTAGAATTTTGGGATATTAGGATTCTAGGATGCTAGGATTGTAGAATTTTGGGATATTAGGATTCTAGGATGCTAGGATTGTAGAATTTTGGGATATTAGGATTCTAGGATGCTAGGATTGTAGAATTTTGGGATATTAGGATTCTAGGATGCTAGGATTGTAGAATTTTGGGATATTAGGATTCTAGGATGCTAGGATTGTAGAATTTTGGGATATTAGGATTCTAGGATGCTAGGATTGTAGAATTTTGGGATATTAGGATTCTAGGATGCTAGGATTGTAGAATTTTGGGATATTAGGATTCTAGGATGCTAGGATTGTAGAATTTTGGGATATTAGGATTCTAGGATGCTAGGATTGTAGAATTTTGGGATATTAGGATTCTAGGATGCTAGGATTGTAGAATTTTGGGATATTAGGATTCTAGGATGCTAGGATTGTAGAATTTTGGGATATTAGGATTCTAGGATGCTAGGATTGTAGAATTTTGGGATATTAGGATTCTAGGATGCTAGGATTGTAGAATTTTGGGATATTAGGATTCTAGGATGCTAGGATTGTAGAATTTTGGGATATTAGGATTCTAGGATGCTAGGATTGTAGAATTTTGGGATATTAGGATTCTAGGATGCTAGGATTGTAGAATTTTGGGATATTAGGATTCTAGGATGCTAGGATTGTAGAATTTTGGGATATTAGGATTCTAGGATGCTAGGATTGTAGAATTTTGGGATATTAGGATTCTAGGATGCTAGGATTGTAGAATTTTGGGATATTAGGATTCTAGGATGCTAGGATTGTAGAATTTTGGGATATTAGGATTCTAGGATGCTAGGATTGTAGAATTTTGGGATATTAGGATTCTAGGATGCTAGGATTGTAGAATTTTGGGATATTAGGATTCTAGGATGCTAGGATTGTAGAATTTTGGGATATTAGGATTCTAGGATGCTAGGATTGTAGAATTTTGGGATATTAGGATTCTAGGATGCTAGGATTGTAGAATTTTGGGATATTAGGATTCTAGGATGCTAGGATTGTAGAATTTTGGGATATTAGGATTCTAGGATGCTAGGATTGTAGAATTTTGGGATATTAGGATTCTAGGATGCTAGGATTGTAGAATTTTGGGATATTAGGATTCTAGGATGCTAGGATTGTAGAATTTTGGGATATTAGGATTCTAGGATGCTAGGATTGTAGAATTTTGGGATATTAGGATTCTAGGATGCTAGGATTGTAGAATTTTGGGATATTAGGATTCTAGGATGCTAGGATTGTAGAATTTTGGGATATTAGGATTCTAGGATGCTAGGATTGTAGAATTTTGGGATATTAGGATTCTAGGATGCTAGGATTGTAGAATTTTGGGATATTAGGATTCTAGGATGCTAGGATTGTAGAATTTTGGGATATTAGGATTCTAGGATGCTAGGATTGTAGAATTTTGGGATATTAGGATTCTAGGATGCTAGGATTGTAGAATTTTGGGATATTAGGATTCTAGGATGCTAGGATTGTAGAATTTTGGGATATTAGGATTCTAGGATGCTAGGATTGTAGAATTTTGGGATATTAGGATTCTAGGATGCTAGGATTGTAGAATTTTGGGATATTAGGATTCTAGGATGCTAGGATTGTAGAATTTTGGGATATTAGGATTCTAGGATGCTAGGATTGTAGAATTTTGGGATATTAGGATTCTAGGATGCTAGGATTGTAGAATTTTGGGATATTAGGATTCTAGGATGCTAGGATTGTAGAATTTTGGGATATTAGGATTCTAGGATGCTAGGATTGTAGAATTTTGGGATATTAGGATTCTAGGATGCTAGGATTGTAGAATTTTGGGATATTAGGATTCTAGGATGCTAGGATTGTAGAATTTTGGGATATTAGGATTCTAGGATGCTAGGATTGTAGAATTTTGGGATATTAGGATTCTAGGATGCTAGGATTGTAGAATTTTGGGATATTAGGATTCTAGGATGCTAGGATTGTAGAATTTTGGGATATTAGGATTCTAGGATGCTAGGATTGTAGAATTTTGGGATATTAGGATTCTAGGATGCTAGGATTGTAGAATTTTGGGATATTAGGATTCTAGGATGCTAGGATTGTAGAATTTTGGGATATTAGGATTCTAGGATGCTAGGATTGTAGAATTTTGGGATATTAGGATTCTAGGATGCTAGGATTGTAGAATTTTGGGATATTAGGATTCTAGGATGCTAGGATTTTAAAATTTTGGGATATTAGGATTTCAGGATTCTAGGATGCTAGGATTTTAGAATTTTGGGATGTTAGGATTTTAGGATCTTCAGATTTTAGAATTCAAGGATGCTAGGATTTTAGAATTTTAAAATTCTAGGATGCTAGGATTGTAGAATTTTGGGATATTAGGATTTCAGGATTCTAGGATGCTAAGATTTTAGAATTTTGGGATGTTAGGATTTTGAACTAAATATATGAGTATAATTACCATCCACCAAAATCCCCAACACCTTGGCCGGCACCTCCTCAAACCCATACCCCTCCCCTTCCGCCCAATACCGATATTTCCCTGAATCATCAGTCCCTTCTCCCAAGCCCTCCAAACAGCCCTCAGAGAGCCTCCCCTGTGTCACCCCAACCCTGGACCTAACCCTGGCCTCTTTCATCTTCTCCTCAAACTCCTCCCTGTCGAACTCCACGCCCTCCACCTCCGCCAGTTCCTCAATCAACTCGGGATGGAGTCCATAGGTGTCATAAAGCTTGAACCCTAGCTCCCCAGGAATAGCCCTCAGCCTCTCCCCTCCCTCTAGGAGGCCCTTCCGGAGTTCCTTGTACCCCTGGACCAGCCCAGAGGCATAAGGATCACTGATGTCTCCAAGTTCAGGTCTTTCCTTGACCAGTTCCCTCCACATCTTCCCCGAGGAGCTCTTCAGCACCTTCAGAAGGTCCTCTTCGTACTCAACAATCGTTTGGACCTTCTTCAAGCTCTTGGAGACCTCTGGGTAAACGTCACCGAGGGTCTCAGCAACGTGACAACACACCTCGGACAGAAGTTTTTCTCTCCTGAAGACATCAGTCCCCACGTTTATGGATTTCCTGATGACTCGTCTCAACTTGTGGTTTTCCTCCGGAATCATTCCGTCGGAAATGCAGATGGTGATCATCCTGGCGTGGTCTGCCAGAATCCTGTACCCAGTGTCCAAACCTGATTCATCAGCATCTCCAAATTTTCCGAGGTATGGGGGCGCTGAGGAGGAGGTTCTGATGGCATCGAAGAGGGGGAGAAAGAGGTCCGTGTCGTAGTTAGAGTCTTTTCCTTGGAGAACTGCTACTAGTCTCTCGAATCCCATTCCTGGGGGGAGAGATAATTGAATTTTTGGGGAAACAATGGGATACTATTTCAAGTCATTCGTTCAGTCCGAAATGATTTGCAGTAAATTTGAAAAAATGAAATGTTCATTAATTCTATGTAATTATCGGGGTAATAATTGATATCATTCTTTGAGCGATTTTTGCTTCGGAATGGAAGCTTTGTTATCGTTCAAATTTAAATTTTGGATTTTTTATGTTACATCGACTCAGTATGATCCAAAAAGTTCGAAAATGCAATTTTTAGACCTTGTCCGTGCAAGTGTGGGTATATGTGTGAGTATGTAACAAAGTTTTTCTTCAATTGTTCGCTAATGACTGGACACAATTGAATCTTTTTTTTCAAATGTCGGTATTGTTGAGCCCTATCGATCGTCATTAATTAAAATTTAATTCGATTAGTTTTTTAAATTTTCGAATTTTTTCGAAAATCGGTTGTCCCACGATAACTGAAAAAATGTTCTGAATTTATCGAACTATGGCTTAAAAAATTTGTATGGATGTCCTTTTGACAGAGTTCGAAGATGAAGACCATAACAATAAATCGTTATTTCGATTTATTTGAAAATTTGCAAAAATTTTGTATTTTTTGAAAATCAGAATTCGAGGGCTATCTTTGAATATCAAGCTTCAAATGAATTCGATCATAGCTTAAAATGTTTGTTTCAATGCCATTATCTCGAAGTTGAAAGATGATTACGATAGATGTATTGGTTGATTTGATTTTTATGATGATTGTTGAAAATTTCGAATTTTTCATGAATTTCCCTGAAAGTTAGCTCTCTCATGGTTTCTTCAAATGTGACGTTTCAAATTCTTTCAAGTATGTGTAAATAAAATTTTTCTATTAACATTTTATCGGAGGGCTGAGGGCAGAGATAGAACCGTAAAAAAGACAATCGGTTGTACAGAAGAAAGGGATAATAAGAATAATGATGATGATAACATTCAACTAAGTTAAAAATCTTACAAATTTAGTTGAAAAGAAATCTTATTCAATTTAATAAAATGAAATAAACAATGAATTATAGATGACAGAAGGAAATGATGTGCAAAATAACCATTCGGAAGCATATTGCTAATTTATTAGCAAAAATAACTATACAATATTCAGTAGAAGAGCAATTTCCCATTTGTTTGATATTACCTCCTCAATTGACGTATTAATTCTAAAATAACTTGTATCTCATTTTTTAATATTAGAGTATTGGTTATGTAAATGAAATGAAACACTGGATTAACTGAGAAAAGAACTTTTATTCAATGGTTACGCGTCTTGTCATATCTTTCTGTAAAGTTAGAATGCTAGGGCTAACGCACGTGAGAACAACGGCACCAGGCCAACAGTTTGCGCACTCGCAAGTACAGCACGAGAATAAATATAGCACAGGCTGTTGAGTATAGGCAACAGGGCAGTACGATCGGGAACAGGCGTCGTCTATTCCAACACGCCCTCTCGACTGATCCTGAGTCTTCTCATCTTGTTATTTTAAGTCCTCCTTTTTCCTGAAACATAAATACCATCGATTAGATATTGGCATTCATAATTTGATCGACCTGATATTTGTGTAGCTCAAACGCCCGAGGTCTAGTGAGCACATTTGCCAACCGATCTCTAAACCTGATTCAGTTCATTTTTATCAAATTTAGCTTAACACACTCCTTAATATGCTGTGTTTTAACATCAATTATATACCTCAACTTATTTCCCCCACTGGTCTCTGCACTAAAAGTAGCCGCTCTATTGTCACAGCACAAGATCATCGGCAAAGGAAGAGGAAATATTAATTTCAAAGAATTATAGGTAGACAACGTCTCTTGACTCACCTAACTCATTGCAACGTACTCGGTTTGACAAGTCGAAAGTGCTACATACGACTGTTTATGTCTTCGCCAAGCAATGGAATCTCCGAATAGTTTGATTACAAATCTACGTGAGAACAACGGCACCAGGCCAACAGTTTGCGCACTCGCACTCGCACGTGGTCAGTGAGCCTTTGCAGGCTGCAAAGCTCGCGTCTGAGTAGCCTTGAATCTCAGTCCTCTCACCTGAATATCGAAGGCCTAAAGTCAAAGTACCTCTCAGGTGCCTGAATACTCTTTTTACCATCTTCCAGTCCTCACCTATAGGACTGGCCTGATGTTGACAATATATTGATCGCGTTCGAAATGTTCGGTCTAGCTGCTCCTGCCGGGTACAGCAGGCTGCCCACAATCTCTCTATATGGACTGTCCAGTCTTTCCTCAGTTTCACTATCAAGTTCATTGCCAGTGTCTAACTCTCTCATCTTTCTTTCATGATTGGAAGCCTGTCTTGTGAGCATTGGATTCCTTTGAGAATGTGAATTCTCGAAACCATACTTCTCTAGAATTTTATTTACCTTTTTTTTCTGACTCATCTTGATTATTTGATTTTTCCTGTCACGTGTAATTGAAATATTCAAGAATTCTTTGGGCTCACCTATTACCGTCATTTCAAATTCTGAACTCAATTTTGCTTTTACTTCATCCAATTTGAGTTTGTCCTTACTTACCAGCAGTATGTCGTCTACATATAGTAGCAATATTAAAAACTTATCCTAATTGAAGATTCATCGAAAATCACATCTTTCAGTTCTTTATTGTTTTTTAATTTTATCTGCAAAGCTTTCAGGTAAATAATTGACACATGACCAAATCTGACATGCCATAGCATAGCTTTGTTTTTCTCCTGTAATTTATTCTCTTCTTCTTCAAATAGATTACAATTCTTACTTGGGTTCTCCTCTTGTACCTCATCAATTTTGTGTAGTTGTCTATCCCAGATCGAGAAATCGAAGCTAGACTGTTCAAAAGGGTTTTTGGATTGTTTAGGAGTTTCCTCGGTACTTTTTATCTTATCTATTTTGGTCTTATCCCACTCATCTTTCCTTTCTTCAATAGCCATTTCTTCGACCTGGTCTACACTTTCAGTTTGAATTTCACTAACCACTACTTTTTATTTGGCTGTAGTAGTTCGCGCCATGTATTTTCTCATTTCAAACTCACCCTCTGCCGTGTTTGATATTACTCTTCTATTTGTGCTTTTATGAAATTCATTACTGAGAGAGTTATACCTGTTTATCTCTAGATCTATTATCCAGTAAGGTTTTCACTCGTTAGAGTCTGGATCAAAGATGTCTATTCTTTCATCATCTAAGTAAATCGCGAGTCCCTTTTCAGCAAATCTCCTTAGCCCCTCACGTACGGGCTCGGTATGTCATACCGACCCGTGCAAAAACGCACGGCTCTTTTCAAAATTGAATATTTCCAAAACTATGGCAGATCATACAATCGAACTAATACCATTGGGAAGGTGAATATTGTAGCTTCAATTATGTATTTTATTTATAATTTTTCATTCATCAGAAAATATGGAATGCAAAGAATATTGAGCGTGTGGTAGACTTGGTATCAGAAAGGCCCCGTACGTGAGGGGTTAAACATAACAAGTTGGCTTGAAGAGCCGCCGCAAAAATTACCGCATCTATTTCAAACTTCTTCCTTCTTTCTAATGAAATTTCGACCCTCCCTACCCCCTCCCTTCTTAAGGCTGCTGACCCATCATTATTTGCATATTTAATAACATCTGATTTTCTCGTCTAAAGTATTAAATATTAATTTTGAATTTGTCAGATGCTCAGTTGCACCTGAGTCAGCTAAGAACTCAGCAAGGCAATTATTTTTATTGAATTTTGGGTCTTCAACCTACATCACGTTTCCTTTTATAGGCTATCTACTTTCATTGGACAAATTAAATTCACATCGAACTTACCCTTCTCCCTGTCGTTTTCAGCGAATCTCCTCTCTCCTTCCTTGAAAAATCCTGTTTTTGATCCTCCTTTGGGTTTTGATGATGTAAAACATGGTTTGTCTGTTTGGTTGCTGTATTTTCTCCTCTTCATACCTGCCCCATCATTTGTGCCACCATTCTCTAACTTCCTTTTTGGGAAATCACCATCATCACCACGCCCAAACCCACGAGAATTGTGTCCATAATAATTTGTTTGTTTCAGCTTATCTTTTTGGTTGTCATTGTGTCCTTTGAATTTTGAACAGTCCATTGCTATGTGCCCGTAGTTGTTACATACATAGCAGAGCTTGCCCATGCCCTTGTTAAGGCAGTCTCGTCCAAAATGTCCGTTACCACCACACTCGAAACACCTGTCTGATTTTTTGGCAAGCCTCACTTCGCGATTCGCGCCTTCTATTCGGCTCCTAGTAACTTCTTCGTCCTGGACAAGTGTTTTAAGTTGATCATATCGAAGAGGTCTTTCACCTTTGACTTGAGCAGTTGATTCTAGTTGTTGAACCAAAGGTACAGATACCATGACTGCATTGTAAAACGCATCTCTCTTCTCTTCTTCAGACAGAGGAGTTGCAGATGAAGTGTTCTCATAAGTTCGTATTGCATCTTCAAATTTATCGCAAAACTCCATTGCACTTATTTGATCTTTGATGTATACCATATTTGATATTTCCTTTCTGCCAGTAAAAGGCGTTACATTTTCCTCGAATTGCTTGAGTTCTCTCAATTTATTAAGAATATCGACTGGATCTTCAAACTTCATTACCTTGTAACGATAATTTTTGTCAATGTGACTGATCAAAATGTCTCGAACTCTAAATTTTTGTTCTTCTAGTGTCTTTCTATCCCCTTTGAAGTCTACTGCGCTGTCTATTACATGCAACAGTTTATTAGCTCTCAGTTCAGATTTAAAGAAATCATAGAAGTGTTCAAATCTAGTTTCACTCGTTAATTTGTAATCTCTTTTTAATGGCAAATTTTCATTTAAAAACTCCAATTTTACAGCCTTCCCTACTTTTTTAGCAGGGCTACTGTTTGGACTTTCGCTGTTCTGTCTCATCTTGATCCGTCTTAAGTTCTCATACTGTGATTTAACTATTCCGGCTATTTCATTTTCAAATCCTGCGCCATCCTCCTCTGTCTCATTGTAATCTTCTATAAAGTCAAACTCATTTCTTCCTTTAGCTCCAACCTCTCCTGGCTCATTGATGGTTTTCGTCAATTTTTCCAACATTTTGGTAATGTTCTGCAATTGTGCTGCATTTCTTTGTTTTTCTTTGGCCATTTCTTTCCTCATCTCTCTCAAATGATCAGTCATATAATCACCTGTGTTTTTCTTTTGTACGTCAACTATTGTCTGCAACAGCTTGGAGATCGTATCCAGCTTTTCGCAGATCAGGTTTACTTGTCCTTAAACAATAAATTCAGTCCTTGCATTGTCCGAAATATTCTTTTTGGGTGAATAGGATTCGGGTTGTTTTGGTGTGGTTTTTAAACTATATTAAATATAACAGTTTCTATTTTCTTGATCAGTGGTTTGACCTTACCTGACTGATGTACTTCAGCTTTTGTCACTCTTGTGCGCGCCTTGGCCGACTCATCTCTTGTAACAGTTGCTGAACTGAGTTGCTCCAGGTAGAGTTTAGGAATGATGGGGGGTTCATTTTTCTCTTGTTTCTTTGCGTACCATTTGTTCACCGCTCTCCAATGTTCATCCGATATCATTCTTCTGTCTGTAGCAGTAAATAATCATTTCATTAAACATCTGGGTTCCGAGGCTGGTCGCCCGACAGCAAGTATGACCGACCTCAAAAACCCACAGTACAAAACACAAGCACGCGTCCACTGATCAGTTGTTTGGGGCAACTGGAATAGCTAGTTATATTTTTAATTTTTGAATTCATATGAATTGAATGCATATGAATTCATTAATATAAGCATATGAATTCATAATATCATTAACTGAACTCTAAAGCATGTATTTCTCCCCTTAACACTTCTCACTTTATCTCATCTTACCTGTTCTATACACGACTCCAGATTGAGTTCTCATCTCTAGCCTATTCCCCTGAATCTTGAATGCGACGTCCTCTCCTTGATGGAGTGTGTCGAAACCAAACAAAAATGTCTGATCCTCCACGAATTGTAGCAGGTCGTCACCTGTTATAAATATTTCATAGAGTTTAAATTCATGATTATTAATTTATTTTATATATTCATTTTTCCCGGGTGTATGTCTTTGCGTACGCGCACGTGGGAAGCAGTCGAGGGCTCTCTGTCTCTCTCTCTCTCTTGCTCCAGTGCTCGAATCACTGAAATCGATTATACTATATACTGGAAAGGACACTGCAATGTCAGACTCGTAAACCGAAAACTGGCCAGAGGGAGTAGATTTTGGGGGCCACCTCTCTCTCTAACTCTCTCGACGGTGCGCATGTGCGTAACGTGCCAAACGACACAGTACAAGCGAGTTGAGAAGCTTAGGTTGAGTTATGCGCAGTAAATTGACGTGTTAAAGATTGTTTTGATGCTAGAAGGATAAATAAATATTGGGACGTTCTACTTTTTCGTCACAGTATTGGAAAGATCAAATAGAGATCAGAAACTCGAGGCATGTTCTTGAATTTGAGGAATTAATTCCCCTTGAAATAAAAGTTTATATCATTGAAATACCAACTTTCTGTTTCAGGAATTATATTGGACATACCGAAATTTGAAATTCCGAATACTGAGGACGGTACTGACTCAGAGGATTTCGATTTCCCGTCAGATTAATTGAATAAAGAATCTATTGAATTGTATATTCTTATGTATTTTTTCCATGTAATGTCAATTTACTCGTAATAGAATTGTAAATATCCCATGTATTGTTTTGATGCTAGAAGGATAAAAAAATATTGGGACGTTCTACTTTTTCGTCACAGTATTGTAAAGATCAAATAGAGATCAGAACCTCGAGGCATGTTCTTGAATTTGAAGAATTAATTCCCCTTGAAATAAGTTTATATCATTGAAATATCAACTTTCTGTTTCAGGAATTATACTGGACATACCGAAATTTGAAATTCCGAATACTGAGGACGGTACTGACTCAGAGGATTTCGATTTCCCGTCAGATTAATTGAATAAAGAATCTATTGAATTGTATATTCTTATGTATTTTTTCCATGTAATGTCAATTTACTCGTAATAGAATTGTAAATATCCCATGTATTGTTTTGATGCTAGAAGGATAAATAAATATTGGGACGTTCTACTTTTTCGTCACAGTATTGGAAAGATCAAATAGAGATCAGAAACTCGAGGCATGTTCTTGAATTTGAGGAATTAATTCCCCTTGAAATAAAAGTTATCATTGAAATACCAACTTTCTGTTTCAGGAATTATACTGGACATACCGAAATTTGAAATTCCGAATACTGAGGACGGTACTGACTCAGAGGATTTCGATTTCCCGTCAGATTAATTGAATAAAGAATCTATTGAATTGTATATTCTTACGTATTTTTTCCATGTCAATTTACTCGTAATAGAATTGTAAATATCCCATGTATTGTTTTGATGCTAGAAGGATAAATAAATATTGGGACGTTCTACTTTTTCGTCACAGTATTGTAAAGATCAAACAGAGATTAGAAACTCGAGGCATGTTCTTGAATTTGAAGAATTAATTCCCCTTGAAATAAAAGTTTATACCATTCAAATATCAACTTTCTGTTTCAGGAATTATACTGGACATACCGAAATTTGAAATTCTGAATACTGACGACGGTACTGGCTCATAGCATTTCGATTTCCCGCCAGATTAATTGAATAAAGAATATATTGAATTGTATATTCTTACGTATTTTTTCCATGTCAATTTACTCGTAATAGAATTGTAAATATCCCATGTATCAGTATACATTGGGAAAGAATAAAATTTTCAACTGTCACATGTTATGAGTTTGAATTTTAACAAAAATGGCATATGCAACCAAAAAGAACCGAATGCCAATGCTAAATTCTATACGTTGTCCAAGCTAAGAGAATACTTTTGGAACGGACGGTACGATAGAGACGGGTGGCCCTTTCCAGTATATAAGGGGAGGGTGAGGTAAAATGTACACTTTTGACTTTTAAAAAAATATTCATAACTCAGAAACAGATTTATCAATTGAGCTCAGTCTCTGCTCATCACGAAGAGGAATCATTGTTTTTCAATTGAAAAATAAAATTATTCCATTTCATAAACAATTCAACACGTCATGAATATTTCAAAAAAAGTCCAGTGTCCGTTTTACCCTACCCTCCCCTATATTTCAGTGGCTCGAATGTATGGCTGCAGCCCCCTCACCCCACTCCCCTCAGCGCGTCGCGCGTAGGCATTGCATACGGATTTCATCTCAATTTCCAATGCTCGTCACTCTACTTTCTTACTACTACGCGTCCCACAATCCCATAATTTTATTGATATTAATTTTACACATTTTTTAACACTCCGACATCTTTTCTACTATTTTTACTTCAACAAAGTCCAAAATTCCCGACTGGTTTGGACAAGCATGGCTGTCGGTCATTTTGCATCTTATGGCGTTCTCGCTTCTCACGCCGAGTTATTCATCACAACGCGACTTTCCTTCAGCTTTCCAGAATGCACTTGAATTACAGCTCAATTTGACATTATTGGCTTCCGGAAGGATGCCAATAATGTCATTAATAATGGCCGCGAAAGCCTGAAAACTAAGATATAGCTCAATTTATTTACTTACTCATCTCATCGCCCATCTTGCCTGTCCGTATGCACCCCTCGGTTATAACGTTCGTCCTTCCACTTTGTCTGTTTTTCACCAGTCTTTTCTCTTTTACTCTTCACTTCACTAATTTACTGTTTTTTATCAGAGTAAGCGCCTAAGCGTACTCTGGGCCCATAACCTGTTAGACTATTGGTTATGCAAATGAAGTGAAACAGATTAACTGTAAATGGAACATTTATTCAACGGCTACTCGTCTTATTACACCTCTCTGTATGATAGTCAGAACGCTGGTGCTATTGATATATATTACGCACATGAGAACAATGGCACCAGGTCAACATCTTGCGCATGCGCAAGTATAACACGAGATCCTATTTTACTAAAGGCGAAAGAAACGTGAAATTGTTTTATATCGAAATATCTCGAAACTGCCTGACCGCTAATCCTTAATTCTGATTGGTCAATATGTGACACGAAGTTATTCACAAAAAAAACACGCGGCATTTTCAAATTCTTCAGTGACATAATTTCAAATTCTTCAGTGGTAAATTTTTTTTTCACGTCATATATATAGGGGAGGTTGGGGTAAAATGGACACTTTTGACTTTTTTTAAAATGTTAATGACGGGTTGAAATGTTGATAAAATTCAAGAATTTTTTTTTCATTGCAAAGAACAATTCTTTCCCTTTGTGGTAAGCCTAAACGGAGTTCAATTGATAAATTTGTTTCTCAATTATGAGTAATTAAAACAAAAGTCTAAAGTGTCCATTTTACCCCACTCTCCCCTATA